TGAGAGCGACAAGGACTGTCTTGGTCATTCACAGCAAATGGCAATCTAACATCCAGTTTTCCAAATCAGGCAACTTAGAGGTGTGGGAAGACTACGTTGGCAGATTGTTTGGCCAAAGGGGCCCCTAGGATCAATGGAATGTGGGGCAGTTTGAAACCAACATTAGTCGCATAGAGCACTATTTCATGTTGCCCCTTATATTTACCTCGTAGAAGGTAAGTAGTCCTGGTTCTATCCCACCGCATGGGCTTACAAATGATAGGTAAGGCCCATTTCAAAAGCTCGCAGGTACCCGTTCGGCGACAAAAAAGACTGTGGACCCTTCACAAATCCAAGGACCCCTCAGACTTGGGATGAAGGTCTGCCCGAAAAACCTCTTTTTCCCTTTTTCTTGACGCCGGAGAAGCACCTTCCCCTGGTGGATGAATAGACGGGTCTCACTTCCCCCGTTAATGCGGTTTGATGAAGCCCCGGGGTCAGGGGGAAACTCACAAAGTGGCTAAAACTCTCCATATGACCCATGGTTATGCCCGTAGCGGGAATGATTGTAGTGGTTAAGGGATCTTTACTGCCGGTTGGATGACCATCACTGCTATCCCCAAGTCAAGGAATCGGGGATTTGACCATGGCGCGCATGGGGAAATGTGGCTCGCCTCGACGGGTTCTGCTTCCCAAATGCGTTTGGGAACCACATGTGAGACTTCAACGACCTCGGGACCGAAGCTTACGTCGGATTTGGCTTCGTACTGCTTTGAGGCGTACCCTTGTTCAGCTTGGTTTGTAGGTTTCTGAAGCTAAAGCAAAACCGTTTTAGGGGGGACTTGTATTTGGTCCCCGTATGTCGTATGTCACTGAAATTGGCACATATTCCAAAAAACCATTGGCGTTCGAATGTGATCTTGGGACCTCCAGTCATGCTCCATGCTTGAGGCGCAGGTCCAAATAATAAGCCAAGGATGTCTTTTTTGGGGCCCTGACAAATCAAGGAAAATGTCCTTTAAGCAAAAAAACATCTGGGGACAACTCGCCACCCAAACACTCATGACTCCCCCCCCCCAAACAAAACGGCCGATACATGGCCCAGAAAATGAAGGGGGGAGGGGGGGGGTCATTTTGTGAGTTCCGGTCCGCTCAAAATGAAAATTGTTCACGTTCCACCCCTCCCCCCCATTTTGCGCTTCTGCGCAACAAGCATATGAGCCTTGGACAAATGCGTGATTCTCCAAGTGCCAACAGTTGGTCATATAAGCCACGGACAGTTGAGCCAGAACCCGCCGACAACGGACGGCGTGTTGGACACAAGAAACGCTCCTTACTTCTTTACCTGTTACCCCTCTCCCCAGTAGCGTTTTCTTTTTCGTTGATTAAATCCTTTTATATGCAGGGGCTGCGGCACGCAGTTGCGTAACAAAATTGGGGTGTTCGATTGCCCCCAGGTCCGCTTTTGCATCCCCAGCGTCTGCAGCGCAACATCGCCAGCACCACCTGCATCATCCGCATCAGTGTCTGCCAAGGATGCGGGTGATGCAGGTATTGCTGATGGCTGGAAGCGCCCTGGTGTCTGTGGACCCGGTGGTGCGGGGAGGTGAGTGCAGTGGCTGTGAGGGGCCTACGTTGCCACCTTCAAGAATGCGCCTGGATTGCCGATGGCCTCTTTTTCCCCAGCCATTTTGCGGCACCAAATCACCACTCGAGCAATTGGCTTTGAAGCCTGCTGATCTGGCAACCACCTCTCCCTCCATAACATCTTACGGGGGGCAAGGGGGGAAAAGATCTTAGGGGGGAGAGGGGGGCAAAGATCTGAGGTGGGGAAAGGGGGGAAGAGATGTTGGGCGGGAAAGGGTGCGAAAAGATCTTACTTAGGGGGGGAAAGGGGAGAGAAGATCTTAGGAGAAAAGGGGGGAAAGGATCTTAGGGGAGGAAAGGGGGGGAGAAGATCTTAGGGGGGAAACCAGGGGGCAAAAGATTTTAGGGAGGGGAAGGAGAACAGATCTTCGGAGGGAAAGAAGGAAACATATCTTTGTGGGGGAAAGGGGGCAGAGATCTTAGGAAGGGGGAAAAGATCTTGGGAAGGAGGGGGGAAAAGGTCTGAGGGGGGAAAGGTGGGAAAGATCTCAGGGGGTAAAAGGAAGGGGGCAAAGATCTTAGGGGGGAAAAGATCTTAGGGGGGGAAGGGGAGGAAAGATCTTAGGGGGGAAAGGGAGAAAAATCGTACGGGCGGAAAGGTGGAAAAAGATCTTAGGGGGGGAAGGGGGGAAACGATCTTACGGAGACTTTGAATGGGAGAAGTCCAATGAGATAATTCCAATACCGATGGGAAAAATCCAAAGAAAAACCTTTCAATGGGAAAAGTCCAAAGGGACGCACTTAATGTCGGCGGCCTGAGCCGGAGGCGTTAATCTTAGACTATGCAATTCCCGTATAGGATGTGGGAAACCTATGGCTCGTCCGCAGGTTGTTGTGGGAATTTGTCCCTGCAAATGGGCACATTGGGCTGTCCCTGGTACGCCTGGCTTGTATGGTTGAAACTTGGCGTGTCCCGCCTAAGCCAGCAGTAGATTTCCAAAAATCGTGCCTATCGATGCGGGTCATGATTACTTCTTCACCATCCCAACCCGAGGTAAAAAGGTGTTCATTGACCCTGGCACGCAAAGGTGTAGCTGAACAGGACCTGCCGCACATGTTGCTGTTTGCTTTGGCAGACTGTGGGTTGAGGGTTCCTTCCCTATTGCCGAGCCTCACTAGAAAATCCTCAGGGCATGTGGAGTACCTAGGCTCGCAAAATGGATCGTTTTCGGCTTAATTTTGTGAAGACTCCCCGAGGATGGCGTCTCCAAATGGCGAGCCTCTGTTTTGGTTGTTTTCACGGAAACCAAACAGAAAAAAAGACATGTGTAGGAAAACACCCACGCCAGCTCGTCCATGGCACACATAGTAAAGGACCAGAAGGAACATCAGGTAGAGGACCTGGACACCGCGGTTTGCTGGCAAATGGCAAGGCGTCGCCTGACCATGGCTGAAACATACTCGATCGGTCTAATATAGAACAACAAATTGGCTGATATGTTTCAAAGGGGATCCCGACTCCGAATGTGTTTTAGTTTTTCTAGCTCCCAAGCGAAAAAAAAAAAAAACACCATCCGCAAAAACCTATGCGTGTCGTGTCCTTCCGGTTGCCCTTCGAACGTGCCGCAAGGTCCATGTCCAACCTAAAGGACATCGTCCTTTCCCTCTGGAGCTCCGTTTGGTTTCCCCATCGACACCAGCAGGTCAAGATCCTCTGGCGTTCAGGGCTCCTTTTGGTGTCCCTACCAACCCAAAGAGGTCCAAAGATCAGAAACTCTCGGCCCAGGTCTCCCTACCAACCCAGATCCCGAAATCAGAAACCCTTCGCTCAGTCCACGGCTGAACTCAACAGCAGGTGGCGGTTGATGCCCCCCCACCAGTAGACCAGCGTCTGGCTGGCACCCTTCGTATAGCCTCAGCTGGATAAGAGCAGCAGAGAACCGTGCGGGCTGGGGTTGCCCTTCAAGGGAATCATCGATTTTCTGCGGCCCGTTCCTTCGACTCGTAGGGATGTAAATCCAACGGTAGACTCTAGCGCAAGATGTTCCAACCCCAAAGAAATGCAGAGCCGAAGGCCCAGTTACCCTCATCCCCTTGATTAGGGCTTACTCGAAATCGGGGCAACCTCATAGGTGCTTTGATCTAGAAAACAAGGACCCCTTCGGTGATAAAGTGGGCCCCCATGACCACTTGATCGCCTCTGGGGAGTGCCTTGGTGTCACTCAAAAAGCGACCCTCTAAAGCCTTGCTTCGCGTGGGCAATTGGTGAATTACCGTTTTCGGGTTGTTGACACGCTTACGGGTCCCGATCCTCAGCGTTGGCTTCCTTACATGGACTGGTTGTCCTAAACTTCACTGCCTTGATGGCATTTCAAGGGTAAGCATGAGGGAGATCAAACGATGGACATCTTCTGAATCGACCACCCCCCCCCCAAGGCAGCACCCATCCAGCGCGTCCCGAACGGCCATGTGTTTGCAAGGGGCTGGTTAACCCCCCCAAAACACATCTATAACCCTGCTCAGGGGCCACGGTCGGCCTGCCCCTGAAGTTTGTCCAATGGTCAAGGGGGAATGCTGTCCCAGCAAAGGCTCCAACTTCTTGCCAGCCCATTTGCTACCTCAGCTTTTGCTGCCCAAACCAAAAATATGGATTGTTGATGAGGAGATCACAATCATAATTGCAGAGTGTCAAACAAAAGCAATCAAAAGGCAGTTGTCTAACTTTTGACAGCCCCTTCATGTGAAAAAGGGCACCTGGTTTTGCGGGGAGCTGATTTTGACCCTCCAGAAAGGGACCAAGCTGGGGTATCCCCAACAGTTCAGCAGGAATTGGAAACCTTCCGGAAGCTTTCCTCGGCCCGAAAAACAAAAGGAGCGGAACTCTGGGTTTCACAGTCGGCACAATCTGAAAAAATCTGGGCTACACTACCCCGTTGTTGGACCTTTTTGGGCGACAATCACCGACTTGACAACACGGCTGGGATCACGCGGAATTTGCTCAGGGGCCTTCTGTGAGCGGATGGGATTCGACCCAGTTTACGTGGAAGCCAAAAAGGAGCTCAAAAGAGCATGATGCTTTGAGATAGGTACAAACAAGGGTGTGCCCTGGATGGGGCCCTGGATGCTCTCTCTTTTTCTGTTCGCCCAGTGGCGGATCATGGTTGCTCACGGGATGTAGACGCCGCCCAAGAATCACTGCAGCGCTCTCGGTGCAGCTGGTTGAGACTTGTTGGCCGGCCCAAGCCACTCAAACATGCACGTTTCTGAGAGGATAAAAAAGCGCTTGCTGCTGGATATCCCTCTGCTGATCAAATGACATCCGCCTGAGAGCGTCTGAAGGTCAAAGGGATTCCACCCCAACTGACTGCTTGCGCAGAGCTTTGTGACTTATGTGGTTTCAAGTTGCGACCACAAAACCAGCCGTACATCACATCGTTGTAAAGATGTCCGGCATCCTCGCATATGGGTTTGCCTCAAACCTGGCGGTGTTCCCTTCCCCTTCAAACCAACAAAAATAGCAGACAGGCTTCTCCAAGAAACACACACCATGGATCAACCGCTACGGACCGGACCTTTACGCCGCCATTTGGCTCTGCCGGAAAGTAAGGCACTTGAGCACTGCAAGCTGCGGAGGTCCTAGGCTCCCCCAACCACCTTCAACGGAAAAACACGTGACGTCCCATGAAAAACCCAACATGCCATTCGGTGTAGATCCTTTCAGAAAAGGCACAAACGCTTCCCTTTGCTCACATGGGAAGGTTGACTCTGTTTTAGCTCCGAAATCAATTGCACTCAGTCCCGAACCTTTTTGTTGGTCCTGGTTGAGTTTGCGGAAAATGAAACAACTAGGGACTAGGGAGCTGGACTCCTGCACTACAACACGTGCGGATTCCTTCAATATTGCGGCAAGCCAAGCACTGCCACACAAAGCCAACTTGATCCTCGACATTTTCCCTTGAAACATCCTCCACCTCAAGGAACTCGCTTGAAGTAGGCTCGAAAGGGTGTCGGATGGAACAGTATGGCCATACCCATCACAAGGTCGCAGGACTCGCCAACCAAACTGCTCACTTCCTGAGTGAATTCACCAAAAAGCTAAAACGAGCTCAAACTGTATGCTTGCTACTCAAATGTATTTCTTTCAAAAAAGGTTGGCCTCCGTAAACTAGTTGAAGTGAGACAAGACACGGTCACAGAAAACATCACCAAAGCAACAACGCACACACACACACACTAACACGGAACGGGGTGTCAAAAAAAATGGATCTGTTTCGGATGCCGCCCAACCGCCCAAGGTGCCGCCCAACCGCCCAAGGTGACCCCAAACACCACCCCGAACTTCGACCCCCGCACGCCAGTCGATACCTCCCACCGCTTTCTTCATTTTTCCCGTTGGACCCGGCCGTTTTTTTCGGCGGTACGGATGAGCCGCGGTAGCCACGGTCAAAACGCACTGAGTGGTTCAAGAGATCTGGGTGTTCCAACAAGAACTACGGGGTGTGTCCAGTATGTTAACGCCAATGAGTTTTAGGACCATTGCCCAACCCTGCTATTTTTGTTTCTTGTTGGTGTTGCTCACACTTCCTGCCTCCTCTCATCTTGAAGGTTTCCTCTTTGACTCGTGCCCAATTACCCGCATTGCATTGGCCCAGTTTGAATGGCACACACACATAGCACCAAAAAGAGCTTTGCATTGGCCCCGTTTGTTTTGTGTGCACGGGGCACAAAAGAGTGGTGCATTGGCCCAGTGTAAAATGTGTGCACGGGGCGCAAGAGAGTGGCGCATTGGCCCCGTTTGTTTTTGTCTCCAAAAGGTCTAAGGGGCTCAGGTCACCCCAAACACCAGCCATGATAAAACCTCCAATGTGATGGCAACCCATGATAAAGAAACCTCAGGCGTATTGCTAGGGTGTGTCCCATTTACATGGGAAAGCAACCGTCACTTATTGGGGTGATTCACCCAAGTTCCACTTACATCCGTCGGCAGTGCGTTTCGACCATGGCTCGCGGTCAATTGTCGAGCAAGTTCTGCTCGGTCGCATTTGACAGAGGCCAGCACAGGTGCGGAAGCTATGTCGCTAATCTTGGTTTCAGAATCCGCAAACTGCCCTCGGACTCGGACTCCCCCTTTCTGTAGGTAAATGATCTATCTTGGCTTCCTCTAACGGGGCCTTCATGACATGGTGGCGGTTTGGTGACATGGGGATTTATGAAAAAGAAACCACTTTGGAGGTGGTTCCTCATTGAAATTCATAGCCATATCCTGCGGCTTGAGGTTGTGCATCTTGTTTCCTTTCGGGGTCCCCTGGATGAGATGGCTTCCGTTTTCAAACCAAAGCACGGTCCCCCCATTTCAATACTGAGTGAAGAGTTTGGCTGTTTGAGGTACTTTGCTCACCACAAGGAGCTGGGGTTTTAATTTCACCCATCCAAGCCCTAGACCCGAGAAGGGGAAACAAGAAGAAACGCACTCGGAACCTCCTGATTTTCACGAAGTGCATCGGCCAAACCAAGTGGGATGTGGGAACAAACCACCATCTGATTTTCACAAAGTTTGTTGAAAGTCCCGTGAAACCTGAGAACCAAACACCTCTAACCTGGGCCTTCCTTTTTTCATAGCCAGGCAATCCTGAAATCCCGACTCTTGGCCCTCAACCGGGAAAAAAAGAAAGCGAAATCATGACGCACATGATCTTCTCTGGGCTGTCCTCAGATCCCCCGGCTAAAACTTGTGTGGGTTTAATGGAAATCCCCGCTGAGCACTAAATTCTTGAGGCCCAGAAAGCTTGACCAGCACTCTCAACCCGATGCGACTTGGAATCCCCTGCACCTACTGTACCTGTTTTTTCCCCAACATGGAAGCGTACAGGGGCTGAGCTCAAAAGAAAAGGAAGCCTTCCAACACCCTCGATGGTTCAGTTCGGGGTTCCAAAAAAGGTCCCCCATCGAAGCAAGATGACCTCAACTTTGGGGCTAGGAAGCAGTTGGGCCCATCACTGATCACGGTCCACATCTACAGAAAATAATGTTGACCACGACTGTGTTCCTAGGTTTGGAGTGACCCCAGCGATGGCCGCTAAATGCCCGCTCCAAAACAAAGAACGACGCGTGCAAACAGCTTAAGGCTCACAGCAGCCTTCTGGATGAAGAAGAACCAAAAAAAGCTCAAAACAAGCGTCCCTACATTTCAAAAAAGAAAAACACTTTACCCCAATAAGGAAACGCACCAGGACAAAAGATGCTTAGAACCACCTGTCAAGGTTGGAAAATGGGTATGAATCTCAATTGGAGAAGTGTCTGGTGGACATCATTTGGCAATTCCCGTCCACCAACCTCTTTGGAGGTGTTCCCTTAAATTGGAATTCATAGCCCAAAACGACAAAAGCATAGCAATTGTGAAAACCTCGCGCTCGCTCCCACCCACGCGGGCTCCTCGTGAGAATCCATTCGCACAGCCCTTGCGCTTGGCTCAAGAGCTTGCTGTCAACTCCGGGCTAGTCTATTGGCCTATGGTTTACCCGCAAGAATCAGATTCCAGGGTAAAGAGTGATTAAGAAGAAAAGAGAACGCTTCCCAGGGCTCTCCCCTGCGTCGCCGAATTCCCTTGTGTTGCCGTGCAGTATCCACATCCTGGTTGGCCCTCAATCCGAAAGAACACCATCACATGTTAATGCAAATGATGTCAACCAAATCCCCGATGAACTTCATACCCATGGGTGTGTCTTTTTTCTCCCCTTTTGTGTGTGGTGTTTGAAAGGAAATCAAAAGGAAACCGGCCATTTTGAAGTTCCCCTAAAAAAGACACCACCATATTGGCATTGCGTACCTGAACTTTCAGATTCTGGCTAAAAAGGGTGGCCTGGCGAGGGATCTAATTTCCCCGCATGAAAAATCAACTTCTGCCGTGTGCTTTTGGTAAAGGTAAATCGGGCATAAATCCCATCTACACCGGTGGAACCCATCTATTTCAAACCAAACTAATCTAAAAAGGAGATCTATGATATGCTTTGTGTTTGAAAACTAAGTTGCCCATTCGAACTAGGAATCCACCTGAGTTGCCCTCAACTACTCGCCCATAAGATCCCGTGTCGACAAAACTGGCAGCACACATGACCACCCATAGGACTAGCATGCTGGCAAGTCGATCTCCAGCCAAGTGATGTGTCAAAAGGAGTACACCCTGAGTCAACTCTGTATCATACATGCCGAGGTCACTTTCGCAGGCTCGCAGTCTGAAATCTCAGCACTTCGCGTCTTGAAAAATCAAAAACTGGAACGGCGTTGTCCTACCGGGGATCCCCACATGCAACACATGGATAATTTGCAGAGTTGCCTTCGTTCTCTACTTGTAATGTTTAGGACACGCACAAAATCGGTGAAGTTGCCTTTGAATGTGTCCCTCTCAGCGCACGAGGGCCTTGTCTTCGAGATTTCCTGCGCGCCCTCTGCAAGGGATATGTTTTGGACTCTGACCCCCACACAGTGGATGGACTCTGTCTAGAAGCACCACTAGACTGGTTTCCGAATAATTAGGCCAGTTAGGTCGGGTCAGGATCCAGGTCCGAAAATTGGGTGCGCCCCTTCAAATGGCTTGGTTTCACTTGAAACCGTTTAGGGGCAGTCAGCCCAATTTTTAGGCAACCCGAGCTAGTTGCTCAGCCAACTGAATCCTTCCTTTCAGGGGGTTTTGGAACTTCGCCAACTGAGTCAGCCCATGTATGTGTTCACCCATGACACAGCTTCCCATGCCCATTGAGAAAAAAAACATGTGGCACCCATGTGCCCCATTGTTAGTCCCTTTGTCGCCTGAGCAACCTTGGCCAAGGCCTCCCTTGGCTCATTCAAAAGCACCGCCTCTCGCGCCCGGAGGAGTAACACATCGCCGTCGCGCGAATCGAAAAAACAAAGCGTAATCCAAGGTGCGGAGCCAAAGGAGTGGCTTCTAAAGCACGGCCATGTTGATCAGTGGATAGGGCACCCCTCAAAATGGGTCCTTTTGTCAACTAACCCTACAACCCCCCCCCCCCTTCCCCTTTGCCCCCCAAGGGTTAGGGGCCTTTGGGGGAACTGAACCCATTCTGGGTGTGCGCTGTTTGTTGGGTTTCCCTCAAACAGTTTTTGGCCAACGCATCCGGTTTCAAAGGAACAGCATGTGATAAGAGGGAGCTTCTGAAAGAAGGCACCCTGTAGAAACCCTCTGGTGGGTTCAACTTGATTTTGTTCTACTTGACGAGTCAAAGATCGCAACCTGGTTGGCCGGTGGCTTGGACTGGATTTGGATTTGAACCCCTGGCTCTTAATATATGGGAACCCCCGTAACCTCCAAACCAATCCAAACCAAGTAGATGGAAGTTGACACCTGCTTGGCACCAAGCGTTTCCATGGCAGGCCTGGTCAAACGCAGATTGGTTGACGGATCCTGACATTTTGGGCTTTGACCTGAGTTGGGGTCCAAAATCAAGGGAATAGTTGGGAAAGCCACACAGGGGACCCGTCTCGACCCCACAGGAAAGGATTGAGGATTGCCTGTGATTCGCCCCGAGGCAGCTATCGGGGTTCGGGATTTGGGATTGGCTTCGGGGCTGCGACCAGCCCCTGCGTCAACGAAACCCATTCGGAAGGAGATCGGGCGAGCGTGAGCTCACCTTGCCAGGCTTGGGGCATCTGGGTTCCCCCAAACAAGCACTTCAAACAGGCTTCGACAAAGGGGCTTGTTGCCCTTTGGGTTACTTTCGGATCCCATTTTGTAGGATTCCACGTGAATTTGCAGGGGAGTCATTGAGGGTATGTGTCGAACCAAACATGCATAGGTACGCGCGCACACACACACACACACCCGCACACATCTAACTGGATCCACTGGGGAGTTGTGCTCACCTTGCTCCAACCATGCTTCTGCTTCATCAAGCAAATCTTGCACTCGCGGCCATGGACCCATGACCCAAGGTTCCTCAAGCCCGTGGTTCTTCAAAAAAAAGAGTGGGAAACCGCCTTTGCCTTTGGACCCTTTCCAAAGCACCAATCCAAATCACCCACCAGGAGCAACCAGGTGGTTGGCAGGAGCGCAGGAGCTACGGAGCTGGAGATATGCAATTAGGGAGCGGAGGAGCCAGGAGTTCTGTAAGAGACATAGGTGGCTTGGGGCGCAAGGACAAACGCCAGGCTGGGGAACTGGGGCAGTCCTATCCTCGCACGACAGGATCTGCAAACCTTTTGGGGCGTTGACTGGACTTGGGCCAGAAATGGAAGAAGACGGTAAGGTGCCGAGAATTCCTCCAAAGTGGCTTTGTCGCACGTGTGCTGCTGAAGCCCCTCCGCCACGCCTGCCACGGAAAATACACAAATACACAAACAACAAATAAGTCGAAATGAGAAACATAACATGAAACCCAGCCACAGCCCCCAACAGCAAAACAAACAGCTTCCGGCAACTCTCGCATTCCTTGCTGCAACAGGAATCATCAACGGAAAACTAAACCAGGCTCAGACCCCCTGCCATCAAACGACAAAGAATGAAGTGATTCAAAACATTGCTTGTTGTTGGCTCTGATTTTCCGTTTGATATACATATATATATATATATGTATAAAAGAAAGGACGGCGTTTTCCATGGCCGCCGATTGCCCAGCCTCAGGCTCAGCTCGCCAAGTAGTTGGAGAGCCAGCCCTGACAGTCGCTCAGACGCGGTACGTTGGATACGGCAGGGGGCAGCAACCAGAGGGGTGTGTTTTATAGGGCGCCATGCAAATCGCTGGGCTTCTGGTTGTTCCCTTTTAGAACCGCCAAAAGAAAGGGTACCCTCAAAAGATAGAGGAAAGATTCGGGTAACTCGGGGGCAACGAAACTCGGAGGCAACTCGGGGTCCCAAGGGTCGAAGCCGGACTTCAGAACCATGTCGATCGGTAAGCAACTTGCCGGTAGCTAAGGAACATCAACCGGGGGTTTGGTTCAAGGAGCCGGTTCTATCTGCTGAAAGGAAACCACCCAGTTGGATCATGCCTTTCGCGGGGTGAGCACCAGCCAGGAAAGTAAACCTCGTACCAAAACCGCCTATCGAGCACCTGCGCGCATTCCGTGAGGGTGGCTCCTGCCTGGAACAGGTTCACAAAAAAGCTTCCAGCTTGAAGCACAGGACAATCTGGTGCGTAACATCCCGGAACTCAGTTCTTGGAACCCATTTAGAGTGGCCCAAATTGAGTATGCCCAAGCAAAGTGCTGGCTCAACGCGAAGCAGCTGGGGCACATCAGAGGAATTGCACAAGGAAAGATGTGCTTTTCGTCAAATCACCCGTCCTCCGCTAAAATGATGTGACTGAGCCCACTATCGTGAGCCCACCTGAATCAACTGGATGTTTCCGTGGCTGTGCGTGCGTCGCGTCCTTTTTTGCGAGGCTAGCCAAACTGAAAGGAACGAATGATACATTTTGGGTACCCTGCTTTTAAGGCAACCCTGCTTCCATCATTTTGTAGCACTTGTAAGCAACTACTTGGAAAGGGGTCCAAAGGAAAATCCCTGCAAAGGAACATTGGAAGGGCCTCGTTTTGCCTCCCCGGGAGTTGGGGACCCCGGCTTGCGCGGTTCGGTCGAAACATCCGTACTCACCATTGCGAGCCTAGTACTACTTAGCTTGCTGGTTCTCAGCAGGGGATTTGCCAGACTTTCGGAATGCAAAACCATAGGCAAACCACCCAATTTTGGGGGTTGCCACCCATTTGTTATTTGGGGCATAGCAAAGCGCATTAGTCTGGGTAAATTATAATAATTCACCAAGCGAAAATAAGGGATCCCTATGAAAGAAATCTTCAAACCTTCATCATGGGTGACGTCGCAAATCCCCGACACGCGAAGTCGTTGGCGCAAAAACACGTACACAGACATTAAGAAAAATATGCGGGAAAAAATGCCCAGGGAGGTGTTTTTACCTCTAGACGGACTAAATCTTACCCCACAAGTTATTTGGGTCATACGCTTCGGAGCCACAAGTTGGAATCCGGCCTTTGGGCTCTTGGAGTTCTTCGTCGCCCGCTGCTGCGCCTGGCGGCGCGCGACGACTCTTGCAGGAGCGACGAGCGCCCGGGGGGAGGGGACGAGAGGAGGCGTCTCTTGGAATGATGGGCCGCATGAGTCACACGCGGGGAAAAAAAGAAAGAAAGAAGGGTGTCCCACAAAACGTACTGCAACGAGAAGCCGCTGCACAAGTACCCTGGTGACTGCGACGCCTGACATGTGGATCCCCGCAACCTGTTCTTTGGGCTAAAGCAGACAGAAAGGCTGGAACTCCCTCCAACCAATCCTGGAAGCTGACGATCGGGTGCATGACTTTCCTTGAGGGTAGGGTTGGCTGCATTTGTTAACTCCCCCTTGGGAGTCTCAGCACTGGAACCCAAGCCCAAAGCCTGCCGACCGCCCAGGGCCTTCCTAGCCCTCATAGGGTTGCATCCATGTCAACTGGATCGAAGTGAACAGTGTGTCCATCCACGGTAGCTGGAAAAGAGGCTGCGGGGTCTTTTCGATCAAGAAGAATCGCATCTTAAGGGGCTCTGCCAAAGGCAGCTCTCTTTTTAAGGAAAGTGGCTCGCTTGAAACGCCACCCAAACGCCACAATTGTTTTCCCCATCCTGCTTCTCGAGAATCGCTCGTGTCCCCTTTTGGAAGGAAAAAAAGGATCCCTGGGTTCAGAAATGTTAAGCAGTCAGACTGACTCATAGGGTAAGCTTGAACCTCACAAGGCGCCGCGTTCGCAGAGATATCACCCAGGTCGAGCAACTGTTCGTCAACCCCCAAAAACAACCTTTGCGCAACCAAAAGGAAACCAAGCTAAGGGACTTGCTCTAAGCTTCGTGAAAACACCAGCCAACGGCTATCAAATGCTTCGGCGACCTCCAGAGTCATTTTCAGGGGTTGCTCACTTCCTGAGTGGATGGGCCAAGAAAACGTCCAAGGCTTTTAACACTGCAATGGTCGAATCCCAAACAGTGCTTCAAGTCCAGGAACGGAAGTGAGTTTGACAGAACTCCGACTTGAAACGTGTTTCTTTTTTCCCGGTGCCTAGTTACTCGCGCCTCATCTGCGAAGAGGGAGCTGTAGGCGGGGATCGTGGTGGACAGGGTAGGCGAGACTGGCCGATCCGAAGCGCCGGCGACCGATGTGGGGAGCCAACCTGACGTCAAATGTGGACCCCGGATTCCACCCCAGCTTATAAATAGGGCTTTTTTTGGGGGTGAGTGGGGAACACAATCTCTCTTGGGGGGATTTCCAAGAAAAATGGTGGATGGACGAAATCCTGCACCCACCTACGAAGCGCTGGAATGATCCGATTCCCCTGCAAATGACAACAAACGTTGTGGTTTCAACCATTGTTTCATTTCGTAAGGGATTCCGTCCGTCCGCAGTGTGGGGGAATTCCCCTCCAAGAGTGATGAATCCCCACTAAAGTCAACATTATGCAAAATGAGCTAAAACGGGGGGGGGGGGGGCCTCCAGTTGAATCGGACAAATTTTGAGGATGTCACGAACCAATACGAAGTTCATAGACGGGGGGAAGCGACCACCCTTTTTCAGGACCCTCCCCCCCCCCCCCCGATAAAAACGATCGAGTCCCCTCCCCCTCTACCCTCCCCCTACCCAAAAAAAAAAAACAAAATCAAGAAAAAAAATGAAGAAGAAAAGAAAAGGAAAAAACGACAAGTCCCCTCCCCCCCCGCAAAAGAAGAGGTTCACTTCAAGGTACCCAAGCGGCTTTTTTTTCCGACTGCGCGCCCTGGCGACGCTGGCGCCAGCCTCCGCCGCTCAACTGGACACTCACCGCCCCCTCGGCGCCTGCGGCAAAGGAGCGGAACTGTCATCAAGCAAGGTTTGGCGCAACTGCCTAAATTGGCTTCAACTGGCTGGCATTTGCCGAAATGAAGACGACTTCCGACAAACAAGGTCATAATCAGTTGGCCACGCAATGCATTCATGCTGCACTCTAACAGCTGCAATGTTGCATTTGAAACACACTTTCCTGAATCGTGAACACGCCTCCCCACAAAAGAGGGTTGATGTCAGCAAAAACTGCATGTTCGGCCCCCTGAAAGCGAAGAACCAATGGCCACCATACAGGCCCTCGTTGAAATTCAGAGGCCCAAATCTCAACACAAACAAGAAAATGGGTTCGTCTCAAAATAGGGGTACCCTCAAAGTGGGTTGCTTCCTTTCGGTTTACCGTTAAAACCAACCACAAGTGGGGGAGTCGACCAAAAAAGACACGCCCAAATAGCTTGTGGGTTTGGCAAGCTGAAAGGTTTTCAGCTGCGTGGTCTGCTCGGTTTGGAGCTTGTTCGAATCCCAATCCAAACCAACGAAGGGTGAGGGCATGGCGTTTGATGCTTTAGAATGTCTTAGAACATTACCTTTTCGTCCAACAGGTGAGTTTCCTTTTGGTTGGGTGATGTCTACATAAATGAAGGCGGGGTGGCTGATCAAATCCATGGCTGGTGGATAACCCCCCCCGCCTGGTACTTTCAATTGTTCAAGGGGCCCAATCAATTCACACGCACACTCAAACCGTGGGGGAGATACCTTTCAGCTCTGAAACCGCGGGGGTCCCTTTCCATTCCAAACCCCCGAAGCCTTGCGCTGCCAGCTGGTCAACGGGTCGGGAGCGCTCCCCATTCGGAGCTGGCCCCTCCTCGCGAAAAGCCGAGAAAGGCGCGAGGAGGCACCGCAGTTTGGCTTTAGTTGGGCCCCAAATTCCTTTGATGGACCAACCAACCCTGAAGCGGGCTCCCTTACAAGACCACAGTCTGCTCGTTTAAGCGCGCCTGCTAAGGGGTCGAAACATACTTCATATTTGGCAATACTGTGGATGGTTGCGAAATCCCTCCGCACCACGAAATGAAACCATGGTTGAAACCACAACGTTTGTTTGTTGTTTACAGGGGAACCATCAGAAAACAAAGTGTCTTAGGTGGTGCGAAATGGATTCCGTCCACAGTACGAAATGCGATTAAAAAACCTCTGACGGTTTGGTGCCTGGTGGCTTGGAGGTGAGAGGTGGCGAAACCACTCCCCAAGCCAATCAAAGCAACCAAGGGTTGCCTGAAACTCTGGGGTACACCAAAAATAAGAACTTATGATGACTTTTCATAGTTCGATTGCCATGAAATTGGAGAGGAACGCAGAAACAATGTGCTTGGATTTTTGGGGCCCACATCCCAGTGGTTCACAGATCTGTGGTGGAAACATGGAAATTCCCACCTTCTCGTCCGTCCAAAACTTACAGCCTAGTAACTTTGCCAGCTCATTCTGCTTCGCCATTTCATCCTGACCCATTTTTTGTGGAGGGGGCCATCCTCCGGGAAGTTCACCCGGCAACAACCGGCCCAACGCGACCGCCACCGCAAGCGATGACGACGATCGAGGGTTTTCCATGGTACATGAAGCATGAGGCCCATCTAAACCAGTGAAACCCAGCGATTTCCAAACCAAACTCACTGATCAAAAGGACACCAAGGACCATGGGCCATCTGACGAGCGCCTCGCGCCGGCTTACGATCCCCATACGCATGTGATGTGTGTTTTAAGGGGAGCCCAAAATGGCGGCTTTCCTTTGAGTTTCCCTTTAAAAAAAGTTACCCGTAAAAAAAGACAGCCATGTGAGCATGGGTCAACCAGGGATTTGGACCCAAATGGCAGTCCTTCGGATCTTCACCTGGATTTGCCAATAACCAAATTTAGAACCCCTCAAGAAAGGCGCACACGCAAAAGGTAATAATAGATACTTGGAAACCTCGAATTCACGCATTTGCTTGACTTGCACCCTGGTGTACAAGTCCCCGCGACAACCGCCAGTGGAGCAAGGGGCCGACTGTTAGGGTCATGGGTTCTTAATAGAAGGGGCCAAAAACTGACACGCATTCTTCTCCTACCATGACTTACCCAGCTCGGTTTTGGAACACCCCACAACCCCGTTTACGTGATGCGGCTCCTAAACTTGGGACCTTACGAATCCAAGGTTCGATCGGACCGAGCCGGGTCCTGTTTGTCTATCCTCGGGCGCAGCGCCTCCGGGAACAACTGCTTTTGGGACCGCGCCTTTGAAGGCAACCAACCCAACCACTAAGCAACCAAGCAAGCAACCAACCAACCAACCAACCAACCAAGCAACCAACCAACCAAGCATCCAACCAAGCAACCAACCAACCAACCATCCATCCAACCAAGCAAGCAAGCAACCAACCAACCAACCAAGCAACCAACCAAGCAACCAACCAAGCAAGCAACCAACCAACCAACCAACCAACCAACCAACCAACCAACCAACCAACCAACCAACCAACCAACCAACCAACCAACCAAGCAAGCAGCCAACACTCCTTTCAGTCTTTAGCCAGCCCAAAAAGAAATACCCGGGGTTTACCCTTCCTCGCCTAGTGGCCATCGGGAAACGCACACCTGTTCATGGTTGATGGGTTTTTTTCACCAAAAAACACACAGATGCCACCTGACAAGGTTGCCTTTTGTAAGCCATTCCCAAAACAGGAGCTAAAGGGTTTGTTTCTGATAGTACCCATTTCCACTCGGTTTAGAGGGAAACCAAGGGAAAACCAAAATCCATCTTTGGGGGGTCCAAATCCCTGTGTTGACAACCCAAAAGGCAACAAAGAGGACCTCTGTGTCGATGTCTTCCATGCCCCTTCGGTCAACCAAAGGCCAACCTCCCTCCTAGGACCAGAGTTCTGGGAGGGAAATATGGGTTTTGTGTGTCTTCTCACTAACCAATTTGGAAGATGGAAGGAAGTATGGGTCCCAAACCCTTTTGGACTGACGTAAAAGCAAAAATCCTGTGTGCTGAACCTACCCCCAAAGCTGCTAGAGTAATCAGGGATCAGTTGAAAAGAGTGGAACGGTCAACAGGCTCCCTAAGGCCAGCCGAGAGACGCTGCCTTGGGAGCAGCAGCCCATGACTCGGAGCTCAAGATGCCAATGGAATCCGAATGGGTCTGGGGTACAACAAATGGAGTTGCGAATTGCGTAGCTCCTCTTTATAGCCGATTTGTAGGGACGTCATGTGCAAGGGTGATACCAAGAACTGGCAGGCCCCAGCTTTTTCACCACGGAAGTCGCCCATCACATGCTAGGTCAAACAGAAGCAACCCTACCAGAACCAGCAAACTGTGTCTTTTCTTGAGGGTACCCCTGTTTGGTGGAGAATAAAGGGAAACCACAAGGAAAAGCGAAGCCATTTTGGGGGATCCCGTGCCACCCAACAACCCCTCAACTGCAGCAAACAAAAAGGCATGATTGATTCTGTCGCGTCTGTAGGAAGCTGATAAAATGTAAGGCAAGCTACAAGAACGTTCCAGAACCAGGCTTTTAGATCATCCACCCGAACATTCGCGCCCCCCCCCCTCCCCCGCAAAAGAAAACAAAACCATTACACCAGCATAGACCCCAGATAGCAAAAAACTGGCGGATGATTGCACACCAGCACCTCTAACAGCACCCCCCTAAGAGTGCAGCAAACAGCACCCCCCAGAGCACTCGGAAGTCAATCTCGCCCGCACTCCTGCAACAGCACCCCAAACAGCGTCCCTAAACAGCACCTGCACCAGCACCCCAAACTGCATGATTTTCAGCGCCCTGCCATCAATCGCAAAAGTGCACCCGCACCAGTACCCGGAACAGCACCCGACAGCACGCCCAGAGCACCTGGCCGTCAATCTCGCAAAAATGCGCCTGCACCTTCACAGCAGCACCACACACGGATCCCCCCCAAACTGCACACCCCAACAACATCTGCAGCACCCAAACTGCACGCCCCCTAGCACCCAGCCGTCAATCTCGCTAAAAAAACTGTCTCCTCTTTTATTAGAAGCTAGAGCCCCTGTAGCTTTCAGCTGTCTGGGAAAAAAGAAAGGAAAAAGAAACAAGTCGAAAAGGCTGGTTATCTAGCAGCCTACGTCAAAACCCCCAAGACACTAGCCCCTTCGTCATCTGCGGTAAATGGCTTGATTTATTCAGGGAGGTTTTGGGGCGCGTCGCCTAGTCGTGGTTGAAATTCGAGCTCGTTCCCCATCATCGAACCCCATGGACGATAGACAAATCAGGAATGTTTGACCGATTAGAATCGAGGATCAGATCAAAGGTCTTTCCCTTCTCCCCAAATGGGCCATAGACCAAGTGGAAAACCACCACCGAGCGGTCCAGAGCCCAGCTCCAAACCTCTCCAGCGCGCGACCTGCGGCGAAGCGGCGAAACGCCCCGCCTCGGGCAGCAGATGCTTTCGCGGCCGCTGCGGCACCAAGGGCCGAAGCAGTGCGGACCTAGAAGCTTGGGACGACGTAAGGCCTGGGAGGGGAGGGGAGAGGGAGGGGAGGGGAGGGGAGGGGAGGGGAGGGGAGGGGAGGGGAGGGGAGGGGAGGGAGGGGAGGGGAGGGGAGGGGGAGGAGGGGAGGGGAGGGGAGGGGGAGGGGAGGGGGGAGGGAGGGGAGGGGAGGCCTTGGCTCTTGTGGCCGAATTGAGGGCTATTTGGGCTCCCTCGCCCTCTCTCCCCAGGCCCCATGATCCCCGAACACTGCAAGAAGGAAAAACATATTCATTGCAGGTTGGTGTTGGATCATCACATGAGTTACTGGTGATGAGTACCCACCCCTTCCGTCCCAAGTAATTCCTAGGACGGGTGATTGTGTCTCTCTCCTCATTCACTTCCATGTGTCATATCATGTCATTTATGTTAGTACGTGAGACCCCGGAAATCCATATCGATCGCTGGTGGAAAATGGGCCGACCGGAAACAAAAGGAAGCCTTGAGGTTTGGTCAAATCTCCAAGGCCCACAACCGTGGGCCTCTTCTTTGTTTCTTTTGTGCCGTTGAAAGGCTTGCTTGGTCGATAGACCCTTTAAACCATCCCCTATGATTTCTTTTAAGGGAATCCCTAGGTTCGTTTCCACTGTTTTTCTATGAACCCGCATTTGCTCGAGCAAATAGCCTGGTTGGATGAATTCGCAATCTTGGGAAACCAGCCACCTTTCTTTTAGAGCCATCGCGCTGGGTGAGCCTAGGGAAGGTTCTGACGGTTCTCGACTCTCCCATGTCCTTCCCAAAAATCGACCACAGACTACTGCAAAGTCTGAATCATGCATACTGGTTCACACCATCTTACATAAATGTTGGATTGGGATCTTCTTACAAAAACGGGGAGGTGTATCCAACTACTCCAAGTGAACCGCCTGCTCCCGCCTTGCTGTGTCGCAAGACTCGGAGTGTAGCAGCTCCGCCTGGGTGAACGCGACAAGATCTTGGCACCGGTCAAAGGCGTTGCCTTTGGGCGTGATATTATCTTCCTTCTGGATATTATCCTGCGTATTTGCCGTGTTTATTCTGCCGTGTTTATTTTGCCTTTTCACCGTATTATTAATATTATATGGTTAAGGTTGTACATCTTCATAGATGTTCACAGCATATTGGGGGGCAACTGACTATAGTCTGAGGGCAAAACAACCATATCCGGTTCTGGGACACTTCGAGGACTTGTAGTGTGCTATGTGCCCATGGCTCACCACTGGCGAACTAGAAACCAACTAGCTGATCTTCAGTAGATGGCGTCCTTCTCAGAAGTCAGGTGTTCCTCTGAAAGAAAGCACGGGACCTCAAAGAGCCATGCCTAGAGAGGCAGTTTGGTGTCCCACCAACATGGAAGCTGTCAGGGGTCCCTCCAAGAGCAACTTGATCTTCCGGGCACCTCCCCAGAGGTACCACGTTAGAGGGAGGGACGGTACACCTTTTTGGGTGGGCCTTTTTTCCCACGAAGCCAACTGAAGCCACCACTTTTTGTTTTTGGTTTTGCTGTTTTGTTGGAGGAGGGGCTCTCCTGTTTTTTGAGACACCCAATGTGTCCCCTTTCAGCATCGCCGACGGTATTCATTAAAACACCCATGTAGGAAGTCCTCCACAACCTTTCAGGTAGGCTGCGTGGAGATGTAGCCCATGTTCGTGGGCAACAATGTGATGGATGAGGATGTCGAGTTCAGATGGAGCCTCGTCCAAGCTGAGATCGAGATCACGCACGGCATCGCAACCATACTTGGGCGCGGGTCGCACGGTGACCTCGCCAAGGTTCCCTTTTGTCGTCCTCGGCAGGGTAATGCACGCCAGTTCTGACATGTCTTGCGAGGTGTCCGTGGAATCGAGGGGCCGACATGCTTAATTTCTAGCATCCTGTGCAATGTGACGTATGGCTACGGGCGCTTGTGGCCCAAAGGTTGCCTGTCGTGAACTGAATCGCATTTTTGAAAGCCTCCACCTTGTCAATGGCCAAGTTGTTTGTTGAAACCATGGCAGGCCTGTTCTGGCCGCTACAACGCCTTTGGGCATCTCTGGGACCGCATTCAATGCCTTGTTCGGGGTTTCACGACTACGTCATACGTCCCGAACCCCTGAAGGTACCGAATGTGTTGATATTCTCGAGATCTCTAGATCTCTTGCGCGCAAACGGATTGAACTGCCCAAGGCCACCAGAAAGTCTCCTTGTGAATGGGTGAACAAAACATGAGCGCCCCCAATCACACCCACTCACACCCACTCACACCCACTCACTTTCTCTTTTTTTGCTGTTTTTTGGGGGGGGATTGGGGGGGGGGGATTTGGGGTCCTTTTTGGCGGATCCGATTTTTCTTCGTGGGTCGAAAACAAAGGTGGGCCCAGGGGCTCCAGGGAACGCCCTGAGGCTCCGGCGGCCGGGTGCTCGGCGCCCAGTAGGTTCACCAGGCGCTTTCGGCAGAGCTCCTGACTCCAAGGCTTGGGACGTGTGGGGGGCGGGGGGGTTGGAGTTGGCGGCTCGTCTTTTTTTTTTAGGACCTGTGTTGGGCTTTAGAGAAACCCACAGGGAAACCACCCATCTTACAGGGGAAACTAGATTTCCCAAAAGCAAAAGCTGATCAATTTGACTGGTAGTTGCCATTGAAACGATCGCCACTTTTGGTGGTTCCAAAAAGGGAAATGGAGGAAACCCGGTTGCTGGCAACCAAAAGGGGGAAAACCACAAAACGAGGGTTGTGCTTTTGTTGGTTCGCCTTTTGACCAATGTCCTTTGGGCTTGGTCCATGTTGCCGATGTCGCTTTTCTCGCCTGCTTTGCCTGTTGCCTTTTGCCTTGTCCGGTTGGCCTTTGTTGCAATGGGTGTGTCTTTTCTTGAGGGTTCCTTGAAACAACCGAAAGAAACCCAACCATTTTGGGGGGTCCCCTGCAAAAAGACATTTTTGACGGGTTCAGCCACAAACGGGAAACCTCCACCCAAAGGGGGGGGGGGTTGGCCTGTGGGTGTTTCAGTGTGAACACGAACCCCAAAGTCCAACGGACAGGAACCTCTCCCCGCGTCACAACTTTCACAAGGAAGAACGAACAACCCGAGCAACTAGGTCGGCAGGGCTGGCCCAACGCCACGCCTTGTTGTCCACTCGGGTGTGTGTCAAAGTGGGGGACCCCCTAAAATGATGGGTTATTTCCTTTTGGTGCCCCTTGAAACCAAGCTCAACCGCGACTGTGGTCAGAAAATGGATGGAAAAGTCAGAACCTGGCCAGCTAATTCAAGCCCCAGGCACAGAAAACCATGAAAACTTCCTTTGGCGGGAGGACCCTTTGTCGGTTCCTGTAAATTCTCGGGGCAGCTAGGAGGTCCCATTGTGTCCTGTAAGGTTGGATCCACAGCTCAAGCTTCCAAAACCACGTGCACATGGGTCTGTTTATTTTTGCTTTTGGTTGGTTTTAAAAGAAAAAGGAACACCGCAATTGATGTATTCTTCCCCCCCCAAGAAAAATAAAAGAAAAGAACAGGTCACCCTGAGCGTGTGCTTTTCAGCGATTACATAGTTGTTGGCATATCTTTTGAAAAAGTGTGAACACTTTGAGAAACAACAAACACCAAACAAAAAAAAGAAGAGCAAAACAAGACTATGTCAGCTGTCCTGACTTGGGGGCGGTAGTGTTGTTTCTTCTGGTTGTCTCGAGGTGTTTTTGCATTTCTTTGGAAAAGTTTGAAAAACCTCGATAAAAGACTATGTCAGCTGTCCTGACTTGGGGGGGGGGGGAGTCTTGGTTTTTTGGGCTTTTTTGGTTTGCTCGAGGTTTTGTTGCACTTCTTTGCAAACGTGTGAAAACCCCTGAGAAAACCAACAAAAAACAAACAAAAGGAACTCTGTATAATATGTGTTGTTTTGGTTGTCTCGAGTTGTTTTTTGCACTGTACTGTTTCCGGCCAGTTTGCAAGAGCTTCTGTGATCAAGTGTGCTGGTACTTCACCTCCAAGCCCTAGTACAGTAAGTTAACGATGGTTTCCTCTGGTTGAACCTGTTCCTTATTACATTCTTCTTAAATTTATTTAGAATTGTACACGTATCACTTGACAAACATATTAAGTAGAGTTCGCAAAAAAAAAGAAGTGTAGGTCCCAATATTGTTAGAAACATGTTGTTTAAGTGTCTATTGATTTGCAAAAACATTTCGATTGGAATGGAGATATTGTGTAACATTTATTGTGAAATAGAATACTCATTATTCAATCTATACTTCAAACTTAAAATGTTGTTTGGATTGTCCTGATAAAATTATACTTAATGTGAGATAGTAGAACTTGACGAATATATCAAGTAGAATTCACAAGGAAAGACACCAGAGATACCGATCATGTTTAATGCATGTTGTTTAGATGCGTACTGATTGTGTAAGGGCAATTCTATTGGAAAGGCACTCCCGTGTAGCATTTATTTTGAAATAGAATAATCATAACTTGCAAATCTAATTTGACATGGAACATTTGATTGGAGTTTTCCCTGAACAATCTCTATTTCATTTCATTTCATTTAGACATTGAGTATAATTTTGATAAAGATATTCAGTAGACTTCAGAAGGAAAGAATTCAGAGGTCCCGAAATCGTGTTTGTTTTCTGCTTACTAGCCCTGGCACTACCATGGTCAGAAAAAAGACCGTAAAACACAGTGTTGTGTAGCGTTTTTAGTACTCGGTTCACATCTCCACCAACGGCTGCTCTCTTAATTTCAGTTTGAATTTGAATAGGATTTAAATGGTATTCAATAAGGACATACTTGATCATAATCCCTGGATATCACATCTTGCATTTAGAATTTGGAGGGAACCCTTTCCCACTAGAACATTACAACTAAGTTAGAGTTGAAGCATAACTTGAAAAGAAATGAATCCAAACACCACTTCTATGCTACAACAGAAGTCCCAACAGAATGATTCTATTCAAAATGATACTTTACACAGCCTGTTCTCGTTCTTTACACTTCAGCTAAGACTTGAACAAACATAGTTCAACTTGAGTTTCCACTCAAAACGTGAAAAAGGCGCACGCTCACAGCGTCCCGCTCTCAAAAAAAGAAGAAGCACACAGCGTGATTAAGTGGTGGGGTGTGAAGGGAACTTCTTTTTTGGGGAAAGTCGACAAGTCGACAGCACACTGACTAAAATGGGCGGTGAGTTCTACCAACCAAAATGGGATCAACCGTTTAACGGTTTTGACCACAGCCACATCTTCGGGGCTCCCCCTTCGCCCCCTTTTGCCGGCCTGCCGCAGCAGCTCCGGCTGGGGTTCGCTGAGCACCTGAAATGGAGGGCCACTCGGTGGATGGACGCGAACGTGGATGGTGGATCCGGTGGATGGACGCGACATCCCCCGTTTTCGCACCACCTAAGAAAAGCCCAGGGGAATGAAAACATATATGTATTTGCAGGGGAATCGGATCACGCCAGGCTTTCTTAGGTGGTGCAGGAGTTCGTCCATCCACAGTATGAAAGGAAACTTGATATCATGTCGCAGCCCACTGTTGACGCTGTCATTTGCCCAGAACGTGACTTCAAAGCCACCGCAAGTGGAGCCAATCCACTCAGGAAGTGACTACATGAGTCTGTATGTGTATATATATATATATAGATATAGACAAAACATATAGGCGTATTGCATGTATGCGCCCCCAGGACGGGTGGGTCGCCGTGGGCCCCGGTGTGCCACTGGCCGAGACGTCAACTTAGTGAGGTCGATGACTTTCGGGGCTGAAGCCAGATTTGCCGGTATTAAGTCGAAAGTGCGGCGGATGGCATCCTTAGGACGTTGAAAAATACATCGCGCGGAAGATTGCGCAGCTGTTGAGCGCCACTGCACCGAACGCTTACTGACTGCTGCGCTGACTGCTGCGCTCGCTTGCATGTGGGGCCGACGCCGACGAGGTGCGACTGTCGCAAAAAGACAGCTTCACACTAGAATCCCTAGGTTCCATGGCGAACCATCCGCCTTTACCGTTCATAACGCACGCACATCAAAGGTACCTGCTTGAAGGGCACGCTCCAATGAAGAGCAGGGGCCATGGGAAGATCATGGCCCTAGCACTTTTTAAAGGCCCCAAAAGCGTCACCAATAGTTTCTGTTAGCCTACTCTTGCGGCTCTGAATCTGCAAATGATAATTGGCTGCCTGCCGTGTATTTATTAAGAAGATATATACAGCGTGTATGCATATATATATATATATATCAGGGAGAGAGAGAGAGAGAAAGAAAGAAAGAAAGAAAGAAAGAAAGAAAGAAAGAAAGAAAGAAAGAAAGAAAGAAAGAAAGAGACATGTGTGTGTGTGTGTGTCAATATACATAGGCATACTGTATACATATGCTCAATTGCCCAAAAGACCTGGAATAAAAGGTTAACCTTTTGGGACCTTTACTAAAAATGGACCAAACTGAGAAAACCAAAAGGTCAAAAGGTCGGCTTTGGGCAAGTGAGTATGTATAAGCATATACATGCACCAATGCAGATTAACATGGAACCCAATCGCCGTCCTTTCTCGAGCAATCTCGTTAGGGGATCCTCTTGGTTATGTTTTTTTTTTTTTTGCGGGGGGGGGGCCGTGCGAAGCAGGGATCCAGCCCCTCAGCATCCCCGACTCAAGCCTTCAGCCCCAAAGCCGATTGTTGAAACGGGCCACGAATGAAGAACACACAAAAACAACTGGGCGTTCAAGCCTCCATATCCTCCAAACATCAGCCAGCGTATCCCCTAACTTTCTGGCCGCAAATAAGTCCTAAAAAGCCTCAAGCAAGACTAAATCTCCCAATAGGCCACCACAAATGATAAGTTTTGTTCATTGCCCAGGAATAGAGGAACTTACCTTGCAACCGTTGAAATCTGACGCGCATCTGGATGTACTGCAGCAACGCACTCCCCAAAGCTTCCGCGTCCCTCAAATTCCGGGCCCGATCGCATTTCAAGTATCGCCAGGCCCGTCGGCTCTGAAGAGCGTACCCGCGAGGCAGGTACCCTTTCATATGTGTGTGCACATTCTGAGATCCCAGATAATTGGAACCAAACGAAACCTCGAGCCATCTGGCTTCAACCAAACTACCTCAGCTTTTACCCCAACCCAATATGTGCTTGTTTCGGGTTCATATTCAACCTTAACATGTGACTGTTGTTTACAAAACAAGAACCCAACAATGCTTCCTGGTGCGATAGGCAGGGAATGAGGGAATGACCCCTATAAACCATCCGTCGTGGTTTCTTTTAAGAGGACCAAAGCCTGAGTTCATTCCCCCACCTATCGCAGCAGCAAGAAGATTGTTGCGACAAAAGGCTGCGGATGTTTTTCCACCAACCTGAATCACCCCGAATCGGGCTTTTCCGCGGCCCCGGCCGGGCGAAAGGCCAAGTAGTGCCTCGGGCTTCGGTCCGTAGGTTCGTGAGAGAAAACAAAAAACAAAAAACGGTGGAGTCAAAGATCACAAAGGCCCATAGTGCCCATAGTTTGTTGGTGGTTCTTTTTGTTTTTGTTTGTTTGTTTGCTTCTTTTTGTTTGTTTGCTTCTTGACAGGGGGGTGGACACCTAGAGGCTATTCTGCTGTCAAGAACCAAGAACTGTAAACCTATAGCCTAAACAAGCAGGTAGCAAAATAGACTTTAAGCGTACATTACACAGGGGGTAATGGGCCGACATGCGCTTGCATAAAAACATACTGTCGCCTGAATTGCGCTGGGCCCCGGTGCAGCGGTTTACATGGCCGAGACACGGCTCTCTCCATGATGAAACAAGTGAGGTGAACCCTGCAAACCCAGCATCTCCCACAAGATGTATGGGCAAAGGACTAAAGTGATCCATCCGTCAAGGGCTGTTGGGTACGCGTCAATACTTGGGCGTGGGAAAGTTGGGGCACGCCCCCCTTGTCATTGTGGGAATGACAGGGTTCTGTCCCCTTGGCACCTCAATATAGATCGAACATGGTTATCGCCATGGTTGCAAGCGAATGCAAGCGAACTGTCCCCGTTCCCCCACCCTCCATTTGCTCAAGTTCCCTAACATATATATATATATATATATGCATTTCCAGTGGTGATAGATTCCCTGTAGAACCTGCAGGGGAAAGTAAATCATCTTCTTAGGCAAATGGAAGCCACCAAAAACTGTGGCGAGCTAAAGGTAAAAACAAATATGTTTCTGTCTGTTGAACCGAAAATCATACTCTCAGAGTCTGATTCTGATTCAATAAAAACACACACACAAAAAGGGTGGCTCTTGGAGATTGAAAGGGCCCCTCCCTGGTAATTTGTCGGAACTGCCACATTTGGAGGCCCAAGCAAGGGAAACGGGATGGGCAGCCCTCAAAAAGGAAACCAAAGGACAAACAAAGGAAAACCAAAGGACGACCAAAGGAAAACCAAAGCAAACCCACAGTGAAACCAAGGGACAATTAAAGTGAAACCAAAGGAAAACCAAAAGGAAAACCAGAAGGAAAACCAGAAGGAAAACCAAAGGACAACTAGAGGACAAGCAAAGGCAAAGCAAAGGAGAACCGAAGGAACACCAAACGAAAACCAATGGGAAACCAATGAAAAACCAACCACAAACCAAAGGAGAAAAGGAAAACCAAAGTAGGACCGCCAAAGGAAAACCAAAGGACAAGCGAAGGAACACCAAAGAAAACCAAAGGAACACCAAAGGACAACCAAAGGACAACCAAAGGACAACCAAAGGACAACCAAAGGAAAGCCAAGGGACAGTTAAAGTGAAACCAAAGAAAAAGCAAAAGAAAAACGGAAGAAACAACAAAGGAGAACAAATCAAAACCAATGGGAAACCAAAAGAACAACCAAAAGAAACCCAAGTGACAACCAAAAGAAACCAACAGAAACCAAAGGAGAACCAAAGGAAAACGCAGAGGACAACCAAAGTTGCAGATCTTGCCAGTCTTTCCGGCCACCGGAAAAAGGACGCCCGGGTCTGCCTCAAAATAGTGGGAACCCCCCAATGTGTGTGGTGTCCTTGTGGTTTCCCTCAAACCATCCAAACGGGTGCCGTTAGAAGAAACAAAACAAACACCCATGATCATCCCCATCAATCAGCCCGGTGAATCGAAGCTGCTCCGGCAGCTTTGCTTCCCTCCCGCAACCGGGGAAAGCCGGAAGGATAGCCAAAGCCGGAGCGAGCCTACGGCCCAAAGCCTACATACCCAGCTCAAGCAGTGTGAAGGACGCCCCCATCTTGGCCCAATGACAAAGAAAGTAACATGTTCAGACGTTGATTCATAAGGGGGGTGTCTGTTTTTGAGGGTACCCGAGAGGAACCAACAAAAACACACCCATATTAATTAGTCAACCCTAAATGGGAAAAAACACGATTTGGAGACCGCGCCAAGGGAAACCAAAGGAAACGGACCGGGAAACGCAAAGGGAAAACCAAAATGACACCAAAGGAAAACAAAAGGGAAAACCGAAAAGGAAACTGAAAGGTAAAACCCAAAAAAGACGCACAAACCAACCCAAAGGAAAACCAAAGGAAAATCAAAGAAGCCGTCGTCTTTTTTGGGCTTCCGGTTCCCACGACACACCCATGAACCAAATGAGTCACAATGAATACCCGATATCAAAATGGTCTACCCAGAACCATGTAAAGAGTTAAGAAGGCGGGGACTGGCCCTTACTAACCATCATCAATCCGGTTTTGAGCACGTGGCTCAAACGGGTCGCTTTCTCTCCGAGCTCCGCCAACGAGTTCTCCGAAAACCCGAGGTCGGGGCCAGAAGCCGTTGCAGTCCCGCTGGATGGTGCCCATGGTGCAATCCTGGGCCGCCTCACGCGCCATGTTCGCTCGCGCGGGCCGGGAGGCGCGTGTGTGGAAAAAAAACCCGAGGGCGTGGGAAAATGTTTTTGTTTTTAAATCCGTGGTAATCCAGTTTAGTATCAATCGACCCCTGCTTGATTCCATCCATGTGCTTCTTCGCGCCCCGTGGAAAAAAAGAAGATAGGTCTCGTAGTGATAGGTTCCCCTTACAACAAAAAGCCAAAAAATAGAAATATAGAAAATAGTCTTAAGCAAATGGAAGGAGTTGATTTGTGGCTTAGACTTTCAGTGGGGGTTTTCCCCTCCCAACACTGGAAATCTTAGCTTTAAAGAGTGCGGGTGTGGCTAGGAATCAGAATGCCAGGAAAGGTGAGAAAACAAATAGCCTTGATGATTGAGTAGACCAACATGCCTGGGCCCACCTCTGAAACACAGCGAGGATATGATTTTTCTGACTCTGTTCCATGTTTAGCCGACGGCAACATATTTGGAAACCCCAAGTGAGTTGGTTAAAACCATAGTTGCTACAGCGTAACTTGAAGTCCGGCAGGGCGTCCAAGTGGGCTTTGTGGCTTGGAGAGGTGGAGAGGTGGAGCGGTTCGGAAGTTTGGAAGTTTGGCATTCGCAGGGAGGGTAGCTTTGAAGGTGCTTTGCCTCTTGGCGGGCTCGCTGGCTTGGATCTGTGGGGTTCAAGGGCTTCGACTGGCTGACAGCTGGGGCATTTCTGCGTCCCCATGTGAGTCAGAATCAAAACCCGGCACGAAAATGGTCGTAATCCCAGAACCATGTAAAGAATTAAGAGGCGGCCGCAGCTATTTATGGTTGGGATTGTCCCTTACTAACCTTCATCTACCCGGGTTTTCATTGTGGCTCATGTCCACTGGCAAGAGTTCAGAGACTGAAAACGGGCAACCAACCGTCCAGCGAGAAATACCTAGTGACCACAGCCTTAGCCCGAAAGGAAAGGCTAATCGGTTCGACCATCGCTTCCACAAAGCAGACGTTTGCCCTGGTTTGTTTTGTGGCTTTCTCGAATTATTAAAGCTCGACCCAGAGGTTATCCATAATTTTGGGGGTTTGCATTCTTGAACACCCCTCTATCAGGGATCCCACCAGTATCCAATCTTTTCAACCATCATGTCCAAGTCAGCCGTTTCCGCCCTGGTTTCTGGCGGTCTGGAAAAAGAGGGGCCCCAACCGGGGCCCTCTGCTCTTGGTATGGTGTTTAGATCCGGTGAAACCTAAAGATCCTAAAGGTTGGCTTCCTGTCCGTAAGCACTCGCCCGCAGACTATGAAGGGGCCCTGTTGCGCCAAATCATTTCACCAGTTGACCTTGGGTTCTGACATGAACCAAGGTTTGTATGGACCTAACCCCCGTGAAGTGCAGAACCGCCTAAAATGGCCCTTGTGCTTCATGGGCCACAGCAACCCATGTAGGCCTCCGGATAGACGTTCAGCTCGTCGGCATCCGCGTCCTTCGCGTACCCCAGAGGAACAGAGAAGCCAACCCAACCTAGGGGCCTGGTTTGGCTCCATAGAGAAACCAAACTCACGGGCGCTTTGGGAAACATCGGCACCATTCACGAACGGAGTCCCCATGGAACCTTCCCAAACCCGTTCCGTTGATTTTGAAAGAGGGGGAAGGTTTGCAGGGAGCAAGTCGCAAAAAGGGGGTCGCCCCAAAAAGTTTGTTGGGGAACCTTTGTTTTACTGGTACTCAGCGGGGAATGAGGGAATGAACCTGGGGGGTCCCCGTAAGGAAAACAAGGGCGGTTTGTAGGGGGCATTCCCTCATTCCCCGCTGAGCACCAGCAAGCTTTGGTTGGCTTAGGAAAAACCGACAGGACGCGCCAACCATTGTTGTGACCCAAAGCGACCACACGCCTCTCCCGACTCCCCCGCTCCTGGGGCACAGCCTCGTACGGACTGCGGCGCCCCAGCGTATGCCTGCAAGGCATCCAACCCACCGATGGAAGGCCTTCCAATTTACGAAGGGAATCTTTCAGGGTTCCATTCTGAGAGGAAAACTAAGCACACCCTTGGTGTAAGAGGGGGGGTGTTCCCCAGTGACGCCATCAAGCGGAAACAAAGGCGCCACAAGGCCCTTATTGGGTGCCCCCCCAAAATAAAAGGCGTCCAACCACAAAACCATGAAATATGCGGTAATTAGACAGATTCCCTTGTTCCGCCGCTTGCAATAATATTGCATCCACAGCACATATGCAATGCTTGGGCTCCTGGTTCATCCTTACAAGCTGCCTCCCGGGCCAAAAGACTGGGCCAGACTCCTCAAAGCCGCCTTGGGCACGGTACACAATCGTCGCATCCAAGCGGTCCAAGCACTCGGGTCCCGATCTTCCCAGGTTTTGGCGCCCAAAAGAGCAGCGAGACAGGGGCATTTAGATGGTGTGAGCTGAATGGCTGGTAACCCCAGTTGGGCCCAGTTGGGATTGAAGAAAGGAAAGTTTAGACAGGAATCTGGGGGGCAAAGATCTGTTGGGTCACACAGCCACACACGACCCATATGTTTTCCATTGCTCAGCGTTCCGAACCCCAAGTCTTAAACATCGCCTTTTGGCCAGCTCAACTCGGGTGTGTCTTTTTCTGGAAGAACCCGTTTTTTGTTGGTTTTAAAGCGAAACCAGAAGGAAAAACACAATTTTGGCGGGTCCCCTACAAACGCGACGAACGAAGATAAAGTGCGAAACCAGAAGCTCAACACGCGTTCCGCGTGAGCCGAGTCATCGCGCGCCTCTTCAGAGCCCGCCGCAGAAAGGCCCGAAACTTGGCGATGTGGCCCTGGAGCGCGTAGACATCGCGGGATACATCAAATAATATTGACCCCATATGAATCAACCCCAGTTAATAGGGGGGTGGCCCCTCCAGAAGTGGTCTGATTCCCCACGTTTCACCCGGGGACACCCCCCCCTATTCATAAACTGGGGTGTCTTAGTATGGGATCAACGTTCGGGGGACTCCCAAAATGGGCTTCGGTGTTCCTTTTGGTTTCTTTATAACCACCCTCAATCCGTGCTTTTGACTCTGGTAGCCCTAAGAAGCAGTCTGTTGACTGTCTGCATAATATATACTCAAACTGCAATTATAAAGATGTGTCAAACTTGAGGGTGGACCAAAGTCTTTGTCATTTACAACTTACACCCCCTAGCCTTCAAAAGCCTCCGAGGCCACCGCAAAACACCAGCGAATGACACAGCCCTGACATAGATCATGTGAGTCATAATCAAAACTCGGCTTTACATAGTCTACCCAGAAGCATGTAAAGAATTAACAAGTGTCTGACAAGAGGATTTATGGTGACTCATGTGGCCCCATGTGAACCTCAGTCAAACAACTACCCGTAATCAGAACGGACCAATCAACTCCTGGCTGAATATTGAGCGTCGCGTTCTAAGGGTTGCCTGATCAAAGGGTGATCTTTCGACACCAATCCCAACTGCAGCAAACAGTTGAGTCATAGTCAATACCCGGTCAGAAATGGTGAACCCAGAACCATGTCAAGGATTAAGAAGGCGGATATCCACACCTATTTATGGATCGTCCCTTACTAACCTTCATTAATCCCCTGGTTTTGAGCAAGTGACTCAGTTTGACTCGTCCCTCCATTTTGGTCCTTGTCCGAAAAAGAAAGACACGGGCCTCGCTGAAGAGGGCCCTATACTATCCCCAGGAGCGGTTGATTCTCCCAAAAGGGAAACCCTGGGTTTAAGTCTACCCAAAGGAGTCTCAAAGGAGATCAAAAAAAAACACGGAACCCTGCTACCCTTCTCCACGGTTTCTGGGCGCCGAAGATGCAGCCCAAAATCACCAGATTCCGCAAGACCCGTGTCAGTTGGCAAATGGGACTTTCATCGTTGAGCAAGTCGTCCATGGTTTTGTGTTGCTGGGTTGTCCTTTTCGACCTTTGGTGGCCAAAGAGGACCTTACTTCGCGATTCCTCCCAGGCCATCTAAGTGCCCCTTTTGGGACCGTCCCACCCTTCCTTCCAAGCGTTAAACCAGCACTGGCGGTATGGTTGTGGGAAATAGCCCTCGCGGTAAATCCGAGATGGGAGTCCCATCCGATGACTACTGTATCACTTTGCGGAAAATCAGTTGTTTTCCATTCAAATTTCTCTGCGCAAGTTCTCGGCTCAAATTTCTCTGCGCAAGCTTTGTCTACGCAAGTCCTGAGCGCAAGTTTCTCTGCAGAAAGCTGTCTGTGCAAGTTTCTCTGCACAAGTTCTCTGTGTTGCTCTGCGCGCTTTTTGCGCGCACTGTTCTCAATGCAAAGGGTCTTTCTCAACGCCAAGAGTTGCAAAACACTCCAGTTTGTTCACATCGACCGCACCAATCCCCACGCCAATCCCTGCAAAGGAGGCATGTGAAAAGTCAAAAAAAGTTCTCTGGTTTTGGACATCGACCACGCCAATCCACGAGTTGGCGCGCTCATTGACCCGCCAATCCCGCAGAGAGTCGTGCAAAAACTCGACAAAGTCCTCACTTGTTGGACATCAACTGTGCCGATCCTCATTTTCGCGTTCAATCCCACCGCGCCGCCTTAGAAGAAATATCTCAATATTTTGTGTAAGTGTTCAATTGCGCTTTTGCTCGTGCAAGTGTGGTCGCAAAAGTGTGCTCGTGCACGTGTGCTCGTACGAGTGTGCTCGGGCGAGGTTGCTCGTGCAACTGTGCTAGTGCAAGTGTTCTCGTCCAGTTGGCAGGCGATGTTTCCGGAAGAATTCTTCGCGATGCTTTCAGGAAAAACGCCGCGGATCCTCTGATGTGTCTTTCCAGCCTCAAAGAAGGCCATGTGGGCGTGATCTACGTGCCCGTGCTTCATCACCATCTGGCGGAAAAGCGAGATGTGTAAGAAGCAACCAGACCGAATCGATTTGGCCCAACCAAATGGACAACCAGAGGTTTCGGTTCGGTGGCTCAAACATGTTTCATTTGGGGTCCCTGGAAGTGGAATTCCATGGCCATGGGGTCTGGCCAGGATTCCTTAAATCAACTAGTTGACATTCGCCATAGGCGAATGCATGAGATGTTTTTTGGCACAGCCCGTGACGTCATGAAGGAGAGTTGTTTGCACGGATCTACTCTGTGGCTGAATTACAAGCATGTTCAAGCTTATAGGGCATGAGAAAATTACAAAAATCCGTAAATGTTGGCCGAAACTCAGCAAACAAAGTCGCAACAGGTGCCCCGAAGGCCTCCCACCAAAGAACGCTTGAAGCAGCAGCGCGCTACCTATCGAGTTTGGATAGAATCGGCTGGAACTCGCCTGCAAGCAATCCAAAAAGGAGAAGGACACCAGCCATGTGACAAACAGGGCACGCTTCGGAAGTCGACTTGGCCGTGAATCAACCAGTTGGGGGCCCTTTCTCATTTTTGGGGCTGGATGTCTGGAGGGAATTCCCGACTTCCCCGGCGAACAAAACGCAAGCAAGTAGGGAACAAACAAGTTTGAGGGGTTTCGTTCGGGGTTTCCGGGGCACCCGTGCGCAACCCCTCGCCCGGGAGGGAGGAAAAGATCCGCACCCCTTCAGCGATGGCGGTGGGTAGGGGCAGCCAGCAGAAATAGTCCTGGCGAAAAAGACGCGCCCTCGGATTTGGGGCAGTCGGATGTCATGTCCCATGAGCAAAACACATTTGTTTGTTTGAAGCCACCCAAAAATTATCAGAACCAAACAAAGTGAAAAGCTTAAAAAAACGTGCCAAGAACGGTGCAAGTATCGGGCGAAGTCCGCTGTCCCTAAGCAAAATCAGAAGGCAACCCCTTTGTTGTTGTTTCTCTGGGCAAGCCAATTATTTGTGGCCCTGTGTCCCCGAATTGAAGTGGGACCTGCCGGATAGGGACCCCGTTGATTAATCCTGAGTTCCCATTAATGTCCACTTTGGATTAACTTGGAGGCTCTACAAGAGTCACAGAGGCCACTCCAATAGATCAATTCCCTACTAAAAGGGGACCCCCAATTAGTCTGGTCCTCCGGATAAATCCGGAGTGAACATTACTTGGATGGTCGAACGCTCGGTGAAGAGCCAAACCACGCTTGCTTGGTTGGGTGTCTCCAAAAAAATAGCAGCCACCCAGAAACTTGGCGAACGTCCTTTTCTGGCTGGATGCTTATGGTCATAGGTTGCTTAAGGAACACCAACCCCAAACGTCCCTTCGGGTTCGAGAATCTTTTGGAGGCTCGGAGCAACCCTCTGTTGCAAAATATCTCAACCCCCCCCCCATAGGGTTGCGACTCTGATCCTGGGTTTTGGGTCCTATGTCAATCTGCGAGTAGCCACTGACATGGAACCGAGCAAAGGGTTTTTAATGTATTGGGACTTGGCTTAAGTCAAATGGCGAAGAAACCTGTCAGCAAAAAGCTTAAAGCTTGTCAACTCAGTCTGTATCTGCAAGGGAGTCACCCAAATTGGAACCCACATAGGTGGCTCTTTTCTTCACAATACCCTTTTGGAGGTTGCTTTGAAGGAAGGGACACAAACTTCAATCATTTTTGGATCACAGGCAACCCAACCAAGTTGGAACCCGAACTTTGTCGAAAACAAGCCTTGATACCAAAATAGGCCAGCACTGGATCACTTAAGGGGATGCCATCAAGTTTTCTTGGTATTGAGGCAGGACCTGAGCATCTTCGATCAGAACCCTGTCAGGGGTGGGAGGTGTTGGTTTCCGTAAATATCTCAGAAGCCAGCTCGACCCCCGCGAAGGCGCTTCGCCAAAATTTCAATTCCTGGATCCGACTCCGCCCTCCTCGAAGTGGAAGGGCGGCGACACGTTCAGGCACTTCTTCCGCTCCTGGAAAACGGAGCGCGGGCTCCAGAGGTGTCCAGAGGTGTCCAGAGGTCCAGAGTCAGGCCTACAAGGAGGGGGGAGAAGGGCGCGGTGCACGGAGTCACGGAGTTTGGACCTGGACCAACTGAAGAACACGCGGTTGGTCAATATGGGTGGGGAGGGGCGTACATGAGCTTGCGAGACCCTCAGAAAGATTCGAAGTGCAAGCCGGGGAAAGGGAAACAGAGTCGGACACAAAAAGGACCTTCCACCATGCAATAGTGGTTTGCTGTTCCCACGAGGCCTGAAAACGCTTGGGGTGTCCTTTTAGTGGAAATAGATAGCCCTGGTAGATGATTCAACCACCAGGTAAACCAGGGCCAGCTATTTTTCTAGCAAAGCAAAAAGGACACGTATGGCTTGGGGCCTATACCCAGGGCCCCAAAATAATCTTCCCTGACCCACACGAACCTGAGATTCACATCCCTGACTCGCGAAATTCCACGAGGATTCCGAGACGTTTGGCAGAAATCGATTTCCACAAGACATTTCGTTGGACTAAAATCCTTTCGCACCCTTGAAGAAACCGCCCTCCCCCCCCCAAAAAAAAAAAAAAAAGGATCCATTGCGAAGACCAACACCTGAAACCTGGAGTTGGATGTTTGCGGGCTGGTAGGATCAGCACCCGAAATTCGCGACTTTAGCTTCCATAGAATGAGTACAACGGTTTGAGGCCTTACTGCCTCCCTTAAACAATACTGTGGATGGACGAAATCCATTTCGCACCACCTAAGCCCCGGTATGATGATTCGCCCGTGTATACCAACAAACGTGATGGTTTCACCCATGGTTTCAAAGTGGTGCGAATGGATTTCGCCCATGCACAGTAGAACCACTCCACCTGTCCCTTTTGCGCCCCGGGCCCAGAAAACCGAAACCGGAGCCCTCGTTGGAAGCCCAAAACGTCGGGTGTCAAAACCGAAACAGATCTCAAAGACCTCGAAGGCACTTGCCTTGCATTGAGTTATGAGTCCCAGACACCTGCAAGACTTGCCTCTGTGTTTACCCCAATGAGTCAAATGTTGGTGCAGAACAACTACAACTACCTACGTAGATTCGCCTCTTTTACCCAAATGGGTCAAATGTTGCGAAACAACCTACATTGGAGTATGTTGGCCCGAAAGAGTGGATGTGTCAAAGCCACTTCAGATAATCTGTGGTTGATTTGATTCCCACGACTTCATTCCCCAAGCCCAAACAAGGACAGCCGAGGACATCAATGATTTTTTTCCGTAAAAAGAAGACATCTCAACCCGCCCCCCCAAACCCCCTCAAAAGCTACAGGCCCATCATGTTTGTGGGCTCCTTCTACCCCCACGTCAATTCCTTCGGAAGTTTTCCGACAGCGCGTCGCCTTGACAAAGTCCGGGCAGTTGGGCGAGATGCGCGCAAAGACCCTGGCGGTGCTTTCGAGCGGAGCCCAAGAAGTCACCCCTTGCTGGCGGGATAGGAAATGAGCGAGACCGGGCTTTGGGAATGAACCGGAAGGGGATTCCCTAGGAAACCACAAGGGATGGTTTGGAGGGGTCATTCCCTGCTGACCAGCAAGAAAAACATAAACCTGTTGTGTACCAATGCTGGTGCGAGAGATGCAGGGAATGAGACATCGAATGACCCCGAATTAAACCATCTATCTGGTGGTGTCCCTCATTCCCTACCTATCGCACCAGCAAGTTACTTTGGGAAGCCCAACAAGCATCGGAACCTAGAAACATGTCGGAACTCATTGGCTTGCCAAAACATCATGAAAAAAAAACGTGCGAGTGAGAAACAGGGTACCCGTCCCCCCCCCCTGCAGAACAAAAAAACAAAACAAAAAACATGGAAACTCCAATAAACCCCGAGAAACCGGGGTCCGATTTTCGCACCGACGTCTGCGCCCCGACGTCTGCGCCCCCGCATCTCCATCTCCACCCGCCCGCCGCCTGCGCAGCGGGCCCCGCTCCCTCTCGCAGAGCTCGAAGGACGCCTGGATGCCCACCTGGCGGGTCTGAGATGCGGCTCTGGCTCAAAACTAAACAGGAGGGGCAAACTGCAGGTTTTGGTCCATGTTTCCACTTGCCAGGGCAACCCACTTTGGGTACCGGTTTTTTGAGCAGCCATGTGAAGCGCCGGGGGTGTCCCCTGATCTTTGAGACTACCCGGCCGGGTTTTGAAGGGAGTTGGTGTTGAAGGGAAACCAAGAGAAACACCACCACCTTGAGGGATCCCCTAAACAAAGACACACACACACACACACACAAGCACACACACACACACACACACACACACCCTTCCGATGTCTCAGAATGTCCTAGTGAAGGTTCCGACTATCTTGGGGGTCGCTCAAGATCGGGAGAATGTATGCGTGCCCAGATTATATGGATTGTTTGTGGTGGGTTAACGTTTACTTTGGATTGATAACCCCCTGGTTGATGTTGATTGGGGGTGGCCACTTTCAGTGGGAATTCAGATCACTTTTGTGGGTGTCACACCCCGGGAAAATGGGCTTCTTCATTCGGGGTTCCCATTGTGTAGCACGAACAAAACTCTCGAATGCGAGCGCGGTCTGTCGGTGTCTCTGAGTCTGTCGGGACTCAGGTGGATGAGAGCCATGCCGTCTACGCATGACCTTTTGTCCATGAATTGACAGAGATAAGGGGAGAAAAGGGTTGAAGCGAAACTCATCTGTCCATCCCTCTCTGATGTGATATAACCTTTCGGCTCTTTTCGCAAAAAGCATGTCATTTAGAGTCGGGTGAAAGTGGATGGCACAACCTCCCCAATTGGGCTGTATGATTCCCTTTCCGGACATAAAGCTAGGTCCTCCAGCAGAGAGGGTAGAATAAGGGTGCCCGATGTTTTTCTGTAGTCTATTTCAGTAGGGGAACCCTCCCAACCAAAACAGGGTAAAAGGGGTGCCTTTTTTCTGTATTCTATTTTAGTAGGGGAACCCTCCCGCAAAAAAGGGGTGAGAAAGGGCACTACCGGGGGACCTAGAAAGGGAATAGCGCCATACAGTTTCACCTTGGTATAAGTGCTTCGTAACCCTGGGTTACCGGCCCTCCTGCGCCTGCTGGGAGTCGAGAAAGTTCAGTGGGTTGCAACCAGAGATTCCAAGCACACGGCCTCCTTAAGCAACATCCATCTTAAAGGCGGCGCAACACGACAGTCCAAGAAGGGGCCCTAGTTTTGAACGAGAACGTTCTATGGGGCCATGTTGCCATGGCGCCCTGAGCCAGTTCATAGGAGTCTTTATCATGTATTGTGAAAAATCGAGAGGTCTACGACGACAATATCTCAAGAAAGTGGCGTTCCCAGATGAAGACAGAATGGAACGGTTGGCAAAGTGCATGTTGTCAGCTGGGTGCTTCTTAAGGAATCAAACCATCAAGACAAGCCATCCTGGTTTTTGACAGTGTCAGTTGAAGGCTGAAGTTGCGTGTGTTGCTAGCGAACTGGCAAGCTCCACGGAGCGGGTCCCTGCCGCAAAACGGACGAGCCATGGGAACTTGGAAATCCTTGTAACCTTTTCGGAGGGTGTTCCGCGTTGAATTTAACAACATAAAGGAACTAAAAAACCATGAACCATGCACGAACAGCCATGAATTCATGAGTTGACTGGTTTGCGCAAAGATTGTCACAGCCGTTTGCTTCGTTGCTCCTTAACTGGCGACATGGCCATCAGTTGCCCATTGACTCGCCAACCTGGAATTGTCAGCCGGCTGATGTTTGAACAGTTCAACCATAATACCTGCATCTTCCACGTATGTGTTTTTTTCTGCCTGCTGAAAAGCAAATATTTGACGCGTTTCGTTTGGGAAATGCCGTTTCATTGCCAAAGCGCCGTTTGGCAGTTGTTGCAAACATGTCCGCAAAGTCGGTCGGGAAAAGTCGCCTTTTGGTCGGGAAAAGTCGCCTTTTGGTCGGGAAACGTCGCCTTTTCAATTTTGCAGGGGTTCTCCTTGAAAACGGAAAGCGCACAAATTGCCCAGAGGCACCAAAGGGCGGGCGCCGCAAGCACCAAAAGGCACCTTTTGCTGAAAAGGCAGAAAAACAGCACCTAAGGAAGATCCAGGTATGAATAAGCACGGCTCAAAACATGTATCTGAACAAGACAGGGCCGTAGCAACGGCTCGGCATCGCATTTTCGAAGATACAAGACATTGGCTCGGAATGGCGTCGGCTCGAAGCTCGCCCTTCTCGTGCGCGCTCACGACCGCGTTTACCATGATCCTGTTGAGCTCTACCTCAGGGATCTTATCTTCGGGGGGGGGGGTTATCCTCTTAATGCGGCACCTTGCACAGGCGAAAAAGCCCCCCCCCAACCAACCAAGCACCCCGGTACTACCTGGCCTTGGGAGTTTTGGTAGTAGTTGGAGCACTTTGAAATGGGAATCCCTGAAACGGGTCGCCCTTAGGGTCACAACCCCTGCCCCAACACAGAGACCCACACACCCACACACACCCACACACACACATTCTGTTTTCCCCCCCCCCCCCCGCCCCGGCACCCGTGTTTTTCCAAAGGAAACTTCTTCTCACCCCGTACCTGGCTGCGTGCCATAGCCAACTGGAGCCCCAGCACCCGGCTCCACTGTCCGGACTTCTCACAACTGCCCACCGCCCCGTGGAAGACGACGGCGTTGGCAGAGATCCCCGCGCTTTCCATGGCGCGCAGCACCTCGGGAAACAAGGAGGAAAAAAGACAACAACCGCAGAAGGGACACCAGAAGGCAGCACAGGCAAAAGCCCAAAACGCCGTAAGGAAGCCAGGTCCAGACGATTTTAGAAGGTGGTTGAAGCTGCCGGCTTGTTGTAACCCGGGGTTGAATCAGCACCTTGCCTCCAGCGCCGGCCACCATTCACCCGCCTTCTCGCAGGCGTTCACCGCGGCCCCACAGCTCCGAAGGTCAAGTTCCATCGACGCGCGAAGCGCCAGGCGCCAGTTGCCCGCCTCCGCCACTGCCGCCTGACAACTTCCTACTCAGGTTTGGATGTGAGACCAAAAGTTGCACCCTTCAGATCCCAAAGGGAAAAATGTATTTGGGGCGCCAAAATGTTGACCGTCTGTGTGTCAGCGCGCTTCGAAAGAAGAGCTTCATTATCATTTCTAGTCGCTGCAAACTGGCGCAGCCGCCACCAGCAGGGCGCGCCCAAGTGCCAAGTCCGCACAAAAACTAGAACGGGTTGCCCGAAAACATAGCCTGTAGCGGGCGCTGCACGCGGTGCCAAACTCGTTCGTGTTTTCACCCACGACATGCTCACACACGATCTGCGTCTTCATGTCTCTAGAATTCTGCAGTTCTGCAGCTTTACAGCTTCTTTCTCTGCGCCGCCATGCATGTTCACTGCGGCGCCTCCGCACATACCACGACAGCCGCCTGCGCAGTGTAGATCGTCAGCATATATAGTATTGTGAGCACCATATAGTATACATCTAACTCAGAGATGCCAACATGTTGCCGTGCTCTCTCGCTCCCTCTCCAACATCTTGGGCGCCAACAGAGCGTAGTCGCGGGCGTTCCGAGGCCGCAGCCTGATCCTGTACTGGGGAAAGCTTTGGTGGACAGGTTCGGGGATCGAGCCCGAAATCTCCTGACAGCGAGAGCAAGAGCGCCAACCACGGAACAACTTCCAAAGACCAGCTTGGACCGCGAATGACTTTTGCGCATGGACCACGCCGATCCTCACAGCGGGTTACGCGCGCAAAGCAAAAAGTCATGAAAGTATACAATTTTTGAATACCGACACCGCCGATCCCTGCAGAGGGCCGAGTATGCCCTGCAAAAAGCAACTCGACCACACCGATCCCCGCAGATGGTCATGCAAGCGAATCAAAAACCGACCCAGGGCGCTTTTAAGAGCAGAGCAAGAAACCCACAGCTAAAGCTGTTTGGGGAACTATCAGATTCCCAGCCCCAAGATCATCCGTCCCGGCGCCTGCGCAGCACGGCGATTTTCCGGGCACCCCAGGCTCTCAGCGCTCGCTTCCACCACCAGCCGCAGCGCTGCCACCCACGGCACACCGTCGCCTAACGCCGCGCCAAAGGACACCGCGGACCGCCGCAGCCGTAAATGCCCAACACGCCTCTGGGTGCAAAAAGCTCAAAACAACTGTTGCTGAGCGGGAAAAGTCCTTGAAAAGTTATTCCCCAAAAAATGAAGTCTAAAGATCAATCCAAGCACAGACCTCAACAGCCGCCACGCGGTTTGCCAGGCCGGACTCGCCGACTCCGCCGCGGCTTTCGCCGCGGCATTGAGGCCGACCACGTCCGGCGCGTCAGGCAGCCAACTCAGCGCGTGCCGCCACTTCGCAGAACTCACGGCGCTGTTGTGGGACACCTGCGACGTCCTGGCTGTGTCGTGTCGAAACGTCGCCTCACGAAATCGCCATGTCTTGGAGTGCCGAGAAGAACAAGAGCCAAACAAACATGAGGGGCTGGGGATTTGAAACCATCATTGCTGGAGCTCCAAAAGATAAAGGACTAAAAACCTTGTCCAACACAAGCTTTCCAAAAAGCCGCCGTCCTCAGGCGTCTGAAGCGCAGGGCGCTCAGCACCTCAGCGCAGGCCTCCCAGCGGAAGGCCTTGGCCTCGCCGTCCAAGACGGCGTTGAAGGAGATGACGTCGTGCCGCAGATCCTCGAATGGGCTCTGCTCCCCTGCTAAAAGTGACTAACTGTTCGTGGTTTAATATGGAAACCCACAAGTTGGCAAAAAGTAAAGTCAAAGTCCTAACATCCTTTGGCAAAATGCAACAAAGGATCTCTTTGGACCAGCTGCGCCAAGAGCTGCTCCGCCTCTTCGCTTCGACTTTGATGCGGTGGATGGGTGACATCGACATCCGTTCGTTCGCGGCAGGAAATGAAAGCCATGGGGAACCATAGGGATTAGTGGCATTTACATCCGAAACAAGGGATTCTTGGGTGGTGCAAAATGGATTTCGTCCATCCACAGTATCCCCCCCAAATTTGACACATGTTTCAAGGAGACATGACCA